AACGGAGCTGCTGCAGCCTGTCCCTTTAAGGTGGTCCCCAGGAGGGAGGGGGCCAGGAGGGAATCATAAAGGGAGCAGCAGCTCTGTTCTGAATGGAGGGAGAAAAGTTAGCATTCTCTCTGCCACAGAATTCAACATTAAATGCAGCAGAGAGAATGCTAACTTTTCTCCCTCCTTTCAGAACGGAGCTGCTGCTGCCTGTCCCTTTAAGATAGTCCCCAGGAGGGAGGGGGATGGGGGGAGCAGCTGGAATGGAGCCATTTTTGTGAAAGGCAGGAAAATAGGGAAATCCCCTTCCCCATTTTCCTGCCTGTCATCCATTCCTCAATCTCAGCACAGACTGAGGGAAGGATGGTAGGCAGGAATATTCCCCTCCCCATTTTCCTGCCATTCGCGACAAAGAGTGGCTGGGAGGGGAGGGGCCGGTAAGGAGCCCCTCAATGTGAGTGATGTCAAGTTGGCCACGCCCACCCAGTCGCATGACCTCCCCCCCATAAGCCACGCCCACAGAACCAGTAGGGGAATTTTTTTAATTTCACCACTGGCGCAACTGTATTCCTGGAAGTGGTTTTGTTGGATCTGTGTGATCTGTTTGGATCTGGTTATTAAAGAGAGGTTAAATGGCCGTGGGAACATTAGGGGCAAGTGGAAAAGATGCGGTCTTGTCAAGTCAAAAGCAAATACAGGGTAGTCCTTGACTTCTAACCCCCACCGAGCCCAAACTTTCTGTTGCTAAGTGAGGCGGTTGTTAAGTGAGTTTTGCCCCATTTTGCGACCTTTCTTGCCACCGTCGTTAAGTGAATCGAGGCAGGGGTTAAGTTAGTAACACGGCTGTAAAGTGAATCTGGCTTCCTCGTTGATTCCGCTTGTCAGAAGGTCGCAAAACGGGATCGTGTGATCCCCGAGATACCTCAACCGTCATAAATCTGAGTCAGTTGCCAAGCGTCGGAAATAGGGTCCCGTGACCATGGGGATGCTGCAATGGTCGTAAGTGTGAAAGACGGTCGTAAAGTCTCACTTTTTTCAATGCCATTGTCACTTCGAATGGTGACAAAAGAAACGGTCGGAAGATGAGGACTACTGTAACAGCAATAGCAGAGTTACAAAATTGTATAACGGTGTGGTTTTGGCATGGCTCTCTCTCCCCATTGATACTGCAAACCTATTTGATATGTTTTTTTTTCCAAATTCCTCTCCATTACTAGGAATTTAAAATAATTCTTGTCAACACATTTCCTTTCCTTTTCCCTCCCCTCAATAACCATACTATTAAAATCAATCCCTTTTTTTGTCATCTTGTTCTTGGCTTGCATATATGTTTAATGGATATCGAGGGAGCTAATGACTGCCGCTAGAAAATTCATTTTAAATTTGCTATTTATAAAGTACTCCATGCTCAGGTGGGAAATTATCACAAAGAACAGGGAAAGGGGACACAAAAGGAGAAAATGATACAACCACGATAAGGCTAATGGGAACTGGCAGCTGTAGGGGAGAGGGAAGAATATACCCTCTTCTGGAAGGATATAAAAAAAAATACTCCAGCTTGAACTGGAATTCAGTAGCTAAAAACAAGCAGGAAAAATATCTGGATGGAAGAGCAGGGAAAGAAAGTTACACACACAATGCAGGGGTGAAATGCTACCGGTTCGGGCAAACCGGTAATGATAAAAACTTGATTAAAAAGTTTTTAAAAAGGGTTCCAACAATCACAGCTGTGCTTATCGTCGGAACCTTTTTTTAAAAAAACTTTTTTAAAGCATTTTTTTACTACCGGTTCGGGCGAATACATAGTAAAAAATGCTTAAAAAGTGAAAAAAAGAAAAGAAAAGTTGGCCACGCCCACCCAGTCACATGACACCCCCCCACCAAGCCATGTCCACCAAGCCACGCCCACAGAACCGGTAGCAAAAATTTACATTTACATTTCACCACTGACACAATGTATGCTCAGTGATATCACTGGATCTTAACTTTGAATACTCCTAAATTTATGATCTACTACAAAGTAAGACAAAGATGTCCATATATAAGTTCTATTTACACACTGTACGAAGGCACAATGTACTGTACTTGATTTTGCTTAGCCCTGTATAAAACCTAGCGACTGTGCTAAGTAAACCATGATTTTGGACAGGGGTGGGTTCTACTTATCTTTACTACTGGTTTGCAACGGGACCACATGTGCAGAAGCTTCCTGACAACGTCCGGGTTGGTGGGTGGAGCGTCCCGCCAGTTTTACTACTGGTTCTTGCGAACCGGTCTGAACCGGGGGCAACCCACCACTGATTTTGGATTTAGTATAGCACAAAAGCCTAGCCAACTGCAACAGACCAGGATTAATCAAGCCATTGCTTAGTATGAGGCTCATGCAAAGCATTTTTGCTTGAGGATTCTGAGCACTTCAGAAATATCTTTGCCTTTGATATTTTGGATGTCATCGTGATCCAGTCAGCAATCTTGACAGATGAAGGACCAGGTAGGGGTGACATGATAGCAGTCTTCCAATATCTCAGGGGCTGCTACAAAGAAGAGGGAGTCAAGCTATTCTCCACAGCACCTGAGGGCAGGACAAGAAGCAACGGGTGGAAACTAATCAAGGAGAGAAGCAATTTAGAACTAAGGAGAAATTTCCTGACAGTGAGAACAATTAATCAGTGGAACAACTTGCCACCAGAAGTTGTGAATGCTCCAACACTGGAAGTTTTTAAGAGACTATAGACAGTCACTTATCTGAAATGGCATAGGTTCTCCTGCTTGAACAGGGGGCTGGACTAGAAGGCCTCCAAGGTCCCTTCCAGATTATTCTATTCTATTCTATTCTATTCTATTCTATTCTATTCTATTCTATTTTACTCTACTCTACTCTACTCTACTCTACTCTACTCTACTCTACTCTACTCTACTCTACTCTACCAGCCTTCTGTTGAGCTGGAGACACACAAGAGCCTGGTGGTGCAGCAGACTAATAGCCTGTTATTATCATTCAGCTGCCTGCAATTACTGCTAGTTCGAATCTCCCCAGGCTCAAGGTTGACTCAGCCTTCCAACCTTTCTAAGGTAGGTAAATTGAGGACCCAGTTTGTGGGGGCAATAAACTGACTTTGTATAAATATACAAAAAGTATGAAGGCTATTGCTTAATGCATTGTAATCCGCCCTGAGTCTCCGGAGAAGGGCGGCATATAAATCAAATAATAATATTTTTTTTAAAAAAAGCCATGGAAAGCTTTGTGGCTGAAACAGCCATGATGTTTTAGGACAAGGGTGTCTAACCTCTGTAACTTTAAGACTTGTGGACTTCACTACCCAGAATTGGAGTTGGCTGGGGAATTCTGGGAGTTGAAGTCCACAAGTCTTAAAAGTTGCTGTTCTAGATGTTGCTGGACAATGGAGAAAATGGGGAAACCACTGCACCCATTTCAAATATATCTTGCTTCTACACTAGGAAAGAGAGATGGAAAATGCAAGGCATCGTCGTCCCAAAAGTGCTTTTTAACTATATACTTTCCTTGAAGAAGACGTTTCACTTCTTTTTTTTTTTTTTAATTGAAAATGTTATTTATTGTTTAAAAGACATCAACCATCAGGAGCAAAGAAAAATTAACAGCAAATCTCTTGCTTTAAAATTGCAAAAAGTTCTTCGGCAAAGATTTTCTAATCCAAGCAGTTTCATATTTTCCTGTTTCTGAATATATTTTGATGTGTGGCCTTCTCTAATTATAAATATGAGCCACTATAACGTTGGATATAGTCATATATCCTTTTTTAAAAATCCAATTCATAAGACGTTTGGCAGTAAACAGAACAGGATGTTTGTAACATTTATTGTGCTTTTTTCACTGAGTTGCTGAGAAACTGCGTATCAAAACAAGTATTGTTTTACTTTCATTTAATATAGTTTGTTTCAATCCTCACAGACACAGGTAAGAATGTTCTGATGAACAGAACAAGCTGTAATGTGTAAGTATTATAATAAACCAAGTTTGTGTTCAACCATCATATGAGGCTCTGCCATTAGTTCACTTTGTGCAGGATCGCCAAAAATATCTTCACTTCTCATTTAAGAAGCCTCTTCGGTTCTTCAGTCAGAACTGAAGAAGCTTCTTGGGAGGAGAAGTGAAACGTCTTCTCAAGGAGAAAACATAGTCCAGTTGCCTTTTGAAAAAAGCACCTTGGAGACAACCATCACCTGGATGACTGAGAATCTCCGTAGACATTCAACATTATAGACCAGTGATGGTGAATCTTTTCGACAACGAGTGTCCAAACTGGAACATGTGTGCATGTGCTTGCATGGAGTGCCATAAACCTGAACACCAGCTGGCCGGGACGCATGCACGTGCCAGCCAAATGGTCTTTGGGTTTCCGGAACGCGCAGCTGCTCAAACCCGCTGCTCTAGTTTCCTGTTTTTTGACCATTTTCGGCCTGTTTTTCGGTACTCTGGCACCTGCAAAGACCAGCTAGCTAGCGCGCTTGTGCACCCCGGAAACCAGAAGACCAGCTGATGACAGCACGCATGCCCACAAAGAGTCTCTGCGTGCCACCTCTGGCACACGTGCCATGGGTGCGCCGTCACGGTTATAGGCTCTGAACTGCAGACTGCCCTTATTGCTTCGCTTGACAGCTACCACAAGTAGTAACTCCTTTACTTCTCCTATTCTGCAGATCCTCTTACAAATCCTTCCGCTATTATAGCTGAATTAAGCACCCTTCCTTTCTTGATTGCACAGTGGCTATCAAAACAGACCGTTGTTGGCACGAGATTTGATTACAGAATTTCCAAGACTGTTAATACAGCCCCATCCCATACAATTGGACTTGTACGTTCAGTGTTATTTAGAGGCTAATTCCACATCTCCGAAGCAGCTTTGCAGTTTGATTTTTCAATAATAGGCTCCATGCAAAGTCCTTAAGCTCCTGAAAGCAATCTGAAAACTGTTTTTTTTTTTTGTGTTGGCTTTTTTTTCCCCCTTTCCATTTACATAAACACAAGTGGATCAGAAGGAATAATAATAGTTAATGCATTATTTGGGGGCTTTGGAACTGGCTGCTAATGCGATGTCAGCATTCAAAGACTTGAAATCGTACAATGGGAAAATGTTGACATGCAAGGAAGGCTGCGCTAAAGTAAACAATAAATAATACAATATCTAATGTGTGATTCGCTGACACGTCGCCGTGGCTCAATGGGATTCAGCAGACAGATCAGGCTCGCAGTCCACGCGGTGCCTAAGCAGGCCTCATTACGGTAGACGCAAAGTCATTTCAAGCGGCCTCTACAGCAAACCATAGCCAAGTCCTCCCATCATATCTCTGGTAACTGGGAATAACAGCGATGACATCGCAGCTGTTGTGGACGGTACTGTGGAATGAAAGCACATATGGAGCCTTCTACGGTGGCCCAAGAGTCAGTCTGCAGGGTGGATAAAAATCAACAATTTTTTTAAAAAAAAATAAAATTAAAAAAAATTGTATTTTTTAAATTTAAATCTGATTTTTTTTTATTTAAATCGGATTTTTTTTTTCATTTTTATCAAATTTATTTTAATAAAATGCTTTTGGAGTAAAAAAGCTATCGAAAGATAGTTTTCTATTTTAAGATATAATCATAATTTAGTTTATTCAACATGAAATGGAGCTTAGTGATGTAGCATGAGGCTGTATATTCTGCAATATTTAATTTTTTTGATAAACTTGTTCAATGAATCCAAGCTCTGCAATCCGAGATAACGTGCACTGCACTGATGCATTCACACAATTTCATAGTCACCATGAGATAAATCATAAAACAAAATTCAGGAATATTCCTTTATCCCATTGTTTTGCAAATTTATGTACACTACAAATTGTACGATGGTTTGAAGAGAAAGGCATCTGTACCACCAGGCTCTTAAGTGTGAGGAGGAAGGTCAAGCAGTAAAAATGAAAGTGAAACCTTCTAAGCAGTTTATAAATAACCTGTTTTTCCCCACAATAAGACATCCCCTGATAATAAGCCCAATCGTGCTTTTGAGCGCATGGCAATAAGGCCAAGCTCTTATTTCAGGGTTCAAAAATATATAAGACAGGAATAATTTGATCCTGAATTTAATAACTGCAGCAAGATTGTTGGTGGCGCAGTATTGGAAGAAGGAAGATTTGCCTACTATTCAAGAATGGATACTAAAAGTAGCAAACTTAGCAGAGATGGCAAAGATCTCAGCGTATTTGAAGGACTATTCAAATGAGAAATATATGATAGAATGGAGAAGATGGATAGATTATATTCAAAGTAAATATCGGACTAAAAAATTTCAAATAGCTTACGAATAGATAGAGAGATGTTATTATGTATTCAAATTTAGTTTGGTAAATGGGGAGTTAAAGTATTAGAGGGATGTAAGAGGTTATAATTAATTAGACTATGTTATACCCTGTATTTTGCTCTGGGAAGTAGGGAGGGTTGGGAGGGGAAGGGTTGGGGAAGGTGGAGGAAAGGGGGGGGATATATATGTAACTTTTTAAAACTTTTCAATAATACATATATATATATAAGACAGGTTCTTATTTTCGGGGAAACACGGTATAATATTAAAGAGCACCTGTCATTTTAGATCCATCATGGCAGCACCTGTTAGTAGGCATCAACTCACCTGCTTCCCACCATGTCCCTCACGTTGTTGTGTCATTGCCGCATCACCAGCCATCCCATTAAAGTAAATGGGACTGTTGGTGAGTCAACAGCAGGTCAGAGGAGGAGCTGCTGCAGGACAGAAATGACAGTTGCTCTTTAAAAATTATGATTTAAATCGAGTTGATTTAAATTAAGCCTTTTTACTAGTGATTTAAATCCTGATTTAAATCGGCTTGATTTAAATCAAATCCACCCTGTCAGTCTGTCAAGGGTAGCTGGATAAGTTAGTTCTTGCATCTCACAATTCCATGCACTTCCATGGACCATTCTGAATCGCTACGCCTGAGATGTTATGTATACGTGGGGCAAGTGCCTTTCAGTGGAAATAGATCTTTTAACTTCTCAGGAATGACATAAACTGATTCGTGGATCCCTCCTTCTAATTTGAAAAGTCAATGATTCCTTATGATTTCAACGACTGGGAGTTGAAGTCTACCAGTCTTAAAGTTGCCGAGGTTGGGGGATGGAGACAATAGGGCAACTACTGTAGAGACTGCGCCCCTTTCAAAATGCATTGCTTCTACACTAGAAAAGAGAGATGGAAAATGCAACACATTGTAGAATCTGAACTACAGACAACTCACATCTCTGTGTGCGGCAAGCTTAACCATCTCTTACTCCTATCTACAAACCTAGTAACCATCCCCCAGTGGTGGGATTCAGCCCAGGGGTGGGTTCCACTTACCTTTACTACTGATTCATAATGAGAGCGTGCGTGCTTCTGCGCATGTGCAGAAGCTTCTGCGCAGATCACCCATGATGATACCGTGGCAGGTGGGCGGAGCCTCCCGCCGGTTTTACTACCGGTTCTATAGAACCGGACCGAACCAGGAGCAACCCACCACTGATTCAGTCGGTTCTGTCCGGATCACGCAAACTGGTAGCGGCGAATGTGGGAGGCTCCGCTCACCTGCCCAGACGTAATGCATGACTACTGCACATGCGTAGAGGTGGCGTGTGCACACTCACATTTGCTAACCGGTAGGGAAGATAAGTGAACCCCGCCTCTGCCATCCCTATCTTGTACTAAAGGCCAAGTATGCTATGTTTAACAAACCCGGATGAGACCCTAGATTATAGAGCTAATTATCAATGTAATTTATCTCTGAAAGAATGGAAGGCAGTGATAAACTAGGATAATCAGAACTACAGTTGTGTATTCAATAAGATATGAATGTACCTTCAAGTAAAGTGTATTCATACCTTGCAATGACTTGCCCGGGTTTGCCCAAGTGTTTCCATTATTCTATGATATTTTGCATGGGGATTTCAAACATCAGGAAAAAGAAGGGACGTCTTGGGAGAAGATACTAGTAGCACTCTAAATATATTGATTCTTTCAAGATAAAGCTGTAAGAAACCCTGCTGAAGAATTTGTGCATATATATGTATAGAGGGAGAGGGAGAAGGAGTGGAGGAAGAGAGAGGGAGAGAGAGAAGAGGAGGAGGAGGGAAGAGAAGAAGGAAGAGAGGGACAGGGAGAGGAATGGAGAGGAGGAGAGGGAGGAGGAGAGGGAGAGGGAGGAAGGGGAGGAAGGGGAGGCAGAGTAGAAAGAGAAATCTCATATGTCTCCACTTGCTTTTGCAGTTTGGGAAGTTTGAGTTTTTTTTATCTCTTTTAAAAAACCTGGAAAGGGGAGGGAGGAATATGTTCAGGCTGCTAACATGGACAGTAAAATGAAATGGATTTTCAAAGACTAGGGGACTGTCACTCCTGAGGAAAGGCCAAGAACGAAGGACCAGCTGAAGTGTGAAACCAATAATCAGGCAAGAAGTTGAAGTGGGAGAGACTGCATGGTCAAAAGGCCAATTAATTTACAAGTTTATTCAGTGTTGGATACATTATCTGTTAGCAGATCAAAAATTCATGCTACACTTCTGGGCAATGAGATGAGACTGGCAAAGCCCTCACCTCTGAATTATCATTAAAAGGAAGAAGCAGACTTTGAAAAGTTTTGGAGAACACTGTACAAATTTTCTTGCCCTGTTGTTATATCTCATCTCTGCATCCTTTCAACATGACCGATCGGATCTATGCAGAAAACGTCTTGGGTTCCCTCTTTTTTACCCAATCATGATTAGCCTAATGGGCAAAACAGCCCTAAAATCCATACATATAGATAGGCTAAAAAGAGAAGAAATCAATGATTTTGCAGGGCGAAGCACTAGTTCTCATCTTTATTTTAGTCTAAACAGTGGTGGGATGCTACTGGTTCTCCCCGGTTCTTGCGAACCGGTAGTGGAAATTATGAGTAGTTCAGAGAACTGGTAAATACCACTTCTGCCTGGCCCTGCCCCCAATCTATTCACTGCCTCCTGACTCGCAGATGATTGGCTAGAAGGAAAAAATCAGGGCTTACTTGACAAAGAAGGAAGAAAAAAAAAACAAGATACCTTAGCTTTCAATTGAGGCCAAGCTGCCTGAAAGCGGTTTCCGTTGCTCTTGGTGGTGGCAGAGCAGCAAAAAACTGTTTAAACTCTTGCTGCGGTGCTTCAAAGGGCCGCCCTACAGCTGATCAGTGGTAAAAGGCAGTGTGGTGGTAGACCAGTGTGCTCCAAAAACAAATGGGTAGACCGGTACGGCTCTGCAAGCAGTTAAAAGCCTGGTAGACCAGTACCTCTGCTAAAACCTAAAGAATTGTTTGTCACATGACCATTGAACCATGCCCACAAAATAAGCCACGCCCACAGAACCGGTAGTAAAAATATTTAGAACCCACCCCTGAGTCTAAAGTGCCTGAAGGTTGCGTGGTCTTCATTTGTGTGAGTCTTTGAGAGAGATGAGAGGGAGGGGAGAAATATTATATCTTGATTAACTTTTTATATTCATTTCCTCTAGCAATAGACTTATATACCGCCCCATAGTGCTTTATAGCCAGGGATTCTACTGGTTCGGACCGGTTCGGGCACAACCGGTAGCTCCAACGATCAGCTGGGAGCGAACTGGTTCACTCCAATGATCAGATGGGTCCGCTCACCCACCCCTGCGCTCTACTGACCTATATCCTCTCAGCTGATTCACATGACAGAGCGGATTGCCGCACATCACCCATGTTACTCCCCAGCAGTAACGCAGAAGGTAAGTTTTCGTAAAATTGTGCATGCATGTGCAGTACACGTCAGGCACGTGCGCACGCAGTCACCGAACTGGTTGTTTAACCGACAGGATCCCACCAATGCTTACAGCCCTCTCTAAGCGGTTTACAAAGTCAGCCTATTGCCCCCAACAATCTGGGTTCTCATTTTATTGACCTCGGGAGGATGGAAGGCTGAGTCAACCTTGAGGATCGAACTGCTGAACTACAGGCTGCCGGCAGTCAGTAGAAATAACCTGCAGTACTGCATTCTAACCACTGCACCACCATGACTCTAAATCTCATAAAACCCCAAAGAAGACATCACAAAATAATTCTTGTTTCATGGAACTTTCCCAGATGAAGCATTTAGCAGCCAGGGAGACTGCAGATAGATAGAGGAAGGACTAGCCAAAAAAGATCCACAAGGCCAAGGAAGAGTTGATCATCATTCTTCCCAAATTCTAACATCTGTCTATACTGCAGAAATTTAAAAATGGTAGATATCCAACAATGGAAAGAGGGAAAGAGAGAGACAGAGAAAAAAAGTTTGCCCTTTTTACTCATTTTAATTTATGCCAATTAAAGATGCAACCTAAATTGTAGATATTTTGTCAAGTCCTTAAAATTTGGTATATCATATATACCAGGGATCTGCAACCCGCAGCTCTGGAGCTGCATGTGGCTCTTTCATCCCTCTGCTGTGGCTCCCTGTCACTCAAAATATGTGTCACAACCGCCAATGTGCAACACCCACCAGCACGTGATTTATTGAGCTTTTCGAACCATCTTTTTTTTTTTTCGGAGTTCAAAATGTTTTTGTTGCATGCAGAAATAAAAATTTGTTTTCTCTGTAGCAGTTCATTGATTTCATAAATGCAACACACTTTAAGTTTTTTATATACATAGCATAAAGGTAAAAAAAAATTGATATATGCAGTGTTATCTTCATTTTAGATGAACAAAAGGTTTTGTGACTCCCGGTGTTTTCTTTTCTGTGGGAAATGGGTCCAAATGGCTCTTTTGAGTTTTAAAGGTTGCCGAACCTTGATATATATACTATGATAGGAAATTTTTTATTGATTGGTTGATTGATTGATTGATTAATATCCTTTATTATTTTTACAACTAAGTCAAGGTAGCAAACATATCTAATACACCTTCCTCTTCCTATTTTCCTCATAACAACAACTCTGTGAAGTGGGTAGGGCCGAGAGAGAATGAGACTGGCCCAAGGTCACCTCATTAGCTTTCATGGCTAAGGAAATTGGATTTTTTTCCCCTGTTTTATTTGTTTTATTTATATAAACAAATATAAATATTTTTATATATTTGTACCCTACGACTATCATTAAGTGTTGTACCTTATGATTCTTGATGAATGTATCTTTTCTTTTATGTACACTGAGAGCATATGCATCAAAGACAAATTCCTTGTATGTCCAATCATACTTGGACAATAAAAAATTCTATTCTATTCTATTCTATTCTATTTTATTCTATTCTATATTCTATTCTACTTTACTCTACTCTACTCCATTCCATTCCATTCCATTCTATTCTATTCTATTCTATTCTATTCTAAACATTCAACTTCCATCAAACAGTGTGTGATCTGGGTACAGTTACTTTTAAACAATCATAATCCACCGATTTGTTGTAGTATTCATCACAATAATATTAATAATATAATAAGAATAATACTTAGCATCATCTTCTTTAACAACTCTCCACATTAACATTTCCTTTTTTTATATCTCCTCCTTTCTAACTTCTGTTTCGATTGTTACTAAATAACAATTTTATTTATTAAAGTTGTTAACGTCCAATGAACAATGAACAAGCTGTTCAGTTCCTTCAAGAAATGCATGGAGAACATTGTGTTATTTCGCTTCTCTA